ATTATTTGCTTCCACCTCTTTCGTACATACATTTTTTCCGTGTACATATATTCAAACGACACGCACAGCTCGATACATTCCAAGACGGCAATACGTTCCCGCGTAATACGGACGGAATCGAACGTGAAGTGGTCACCGATCGACTTCGAACGAACCGAACACAGACGAACGAACAAATCAGATTACCGCGAGAGAGATTTCGAGTATTATGACGTGGTTCGAAATTTTACCGATTTTTCTATTCACGTAGAACCGTGACAATTCAAAATAAATTTCCATTGTTCGACATACACACACACACACACACACACACACACACACACACACACACACACACACACAGACACAATGACAAGGGCCGATCGTGTTTGATATCGATATTGTATATTATTCTCCGTTCTTATATTTTTTTATCGTCTCCCGTACGATTCTCATAGGAACATGAGAAAAGTAACGTTGCAGTTCATATATATTCTATGTACCTATAATATAGTCGTATATACGCTGATCTGCACCGGCTTATTGGCATTTATTGCAATTAACGTGAATACAAGAGAAAAAGGAGTGTGCTTCAACGTGACTTGCGCGAATAAACAAGAGAGAGTCCGAGAGAAAGAGTGAGAGTGAAAGTGAGAGAGAATAGAAGAAGGCAAAGCAAACAGGACGAAAAGGAACGGTGCCCCATCCATTCCGTGTAGCAGCGATATCATATCCATCGGTACATTATCGTCAACGTCGTCACTCGCCCCACTAAGTATACACGATACACGTTCGATGACGTAAACAAACAAAAAAAAAAAAAAAAAAAAAAAAAAAAAAGGAAGAAGAAGAAGAAGAAAAAGCAACAACTAAAAAACACGCGAACATTTCGTCCATCGCAGGCTGAATGTCGATTTTTTTTAACCAATTTCATTTTTTTATCCTTCGTAAGAAGTTTTTTTCGAAACGACTGATTAACAATCGACAAACGGATTGTTAAAGGAACGCGCCGATAAACGACGCGAAGAACCGATTCTGTATATCGAAACGGGATCTGTCTTTTTTATTCTAATCGTATAAGCATCGTCGGGTCTAAATTTTTAATCTCGCTTTACGCAACATTTTCTAGTCGAATAAGGGAAACTGGCAAATTGCACACAGACCATTCTCTCGGTAACAAGACGGGCCAGACTTTTTTTTTATATATATATATAATATATATATATGTATGTGTGTTTGATTATACGTTTTTACTATTGCGAGTATGTTCCTCTGGTTCATTTTGAAAATGGATGTTATGCGCGTACGCCGCCGCCCACGTTCCGTTTTTTGCTCCATCGAATCGCGCCTCTTTATTTTCCATCAGTGGAACCCACCCTCTCTTGTTCGCGTCGATCTTCCAGTATGACAGTATTCGTTAACAGTTTCCCGTATCGACCGTTCACCGCTTTAGAATATTCGACGCGTCTTCGATATCGATTCGAGAGAAACGGAACGCGTGCTCCAGAGTCCCGTGCAACGGACAGTAAATCCTGGATAAGTGTTCCACGACTCCTCGGGGCTGAACATTAAATATTTCATAAACTAATGGTCATATGTGGCTGGAAAAAAAATACCATTGGCTTCAGAATTCCAAGCTCTATCGACTGTGCTAAATATTATTAAAAAGTCAGCATTACACCTGGGAACACCTATTCTTGTCAATACTGAGGAGTCTTCGAAGACTCATCGAGGATTTACTGTATCGCGCCGTTAAGGTGCGTAGCCACTTGTGTGTATCGTATCACCGTTATGTATCAATGTGAAGGAATGGAGGAGGCAAGGATTAAATTGTTGCATATGAAAATGTACGGTGATACGACACAATGGATACGCACCTTTAGAGGTTTCGTTTTTTCTGTTTCTTCGAAGAAACGAAAAGAAAATAAAACACAGAACATCATCGCGAAAATGATGCGCATCGCGTGTGCCAATGAAAAGCAGAACGACTGGAAGTGTTTTCTTTTTTCTTTTCTTTTCCATTCGAATCGAATCTTGGACTTTCCGTTGCAATTTTGTACAAGTATTTTTCACGATGCTACACACGATTCTCCCTGGGACCGATCGATCGTCGACAATATTCTCTTGCGTTCCTCTTAAGAAAGTACACACACAAATAAAAGACTGCTCGTGGAGAAATCTTCTCGCGGCAAGAACGCCGACGATCGTCGATTCGGGGGATCGAGGCCGCATTGGTTAATCGGTACCGAAGCTTACGAAACTTTAACGCTTTTAAGTAATTTAGCACGTAAGCAGCGACGGGGGTGTGAGTTTCTGCACACTCGATGAATACCGAAAGCGTGCGTGCGTGCGTGCGTGCGTACTCGCGAACGCAGGTGCGAATGTCGGAAGATGATAGTGCACCGGGACGAGCCGTCTGGTTCGGACGATGTTAAAAGGAATGAAAGCGGAGGATGGTGAGAATGAGAGACGGAGAGAAAGGATGATTATACGAATTCGACGACGGGAAAATTGGACCGCCCACGATGAACGTCACTACGCGTTTGTCGGGCCGAAAGCGGAAGAGGAAAAACGTGTATTGCAACGGGGGGTGTTACGAAAAAGAGAAGAAAAGCAACAATGGCTAATCGAGAAAAATGACTAGTATTAGACGCATTTATATTGTATTTAATATATGTATATTCACGATATACATATATATCATAGATGGATAATTTTACTATGGCAAGTTCATCGCGCGAGTATTACGAGTGTTTGTTACGATTGCAATTATTTAAGGAAGCGCAGAGAGAAAGAGGGAGAGAGAGAAAAGAGTGAGCGAAAGAGAGAGAGAGAGAGAGAGAGAGAGAGAGAGAGAGAAAGAGGGTCGAAAATCATGTCGAGAAACGTACCACACGTCCAGGGCCATTTATAAACGTGTGTGCATTTACATTTAACGTGCCGGCAATACGCGACCAGGGGGGAGGAGAAAATAATCGTAAGGCGCAGGCCGCGCTGTTTCGTGTGCGTGTGCGTGTGCGTGTGTGTATGTGTGTGTGTGTGTTAAGCGCGATGGAAACGGCGACGAAAGACGAGAAACACCCTCGCGTGTAAATAATCGCGTCTCGCCGCCGTTTCCTTGGCCCGTTGGCTCGTGGCGAGATAGGGGCTCGCGTCTGAATCGACATCGAAAGAACGAAAAGGAATCGTCTGAGAACGCGAGGCAACCGCCGCGTCCGATGTATGGAGAGTAGCGTCGATTTCAACGAACGTGTCTCTCGATCTTCCGGGTTCGAGACGCAAAGTCAACCCAATGGGGATGGTTTGCTTGCCATCAGAGACCATCGATCTCGATTGTTCGATGCTATCGATATCACGATCCTTCGATGATACTATCGATATCACGATCTTTCGATGATGCTATCGATATCTTGATCTTTCGATCATGCTATCGATATCTCGATCTTTCGATGATGGTATCGACATTTTGATATTTCGATGATGGTATCGATATCATGATTTTTCAATGATGCTACTATCGCTTTCGCATGGACGGACACGCCGAGGAGGACATCGAAACCGCGCTGATAACCAAGAGCACACACGGCGAGACTCGTTTTCGCGACAACGACGGAACCGCAATCCCAGACGCATCGAACGAAAGAAGGAGGAGCTCGACGAGACACACCGCGTAGCGTATTATTTTGCTAGTATTTTAAGTGATCGCGGGAGGAAACCCCGCGAGCGAAAACGGAACATTTGTACGGAACTACAAGTTTAGCAGCGTTAGTGTAACGAAACGGAGGGAGAGTTTGAATCGATGCCGAGCAGCACACTGTTTCTTAAGACGTATCTTGAAAATATTTGTATGTAAATGAATGACGAAACAATAAAAAGTATACGCCGAAAATATACCTTCCGTAGCGAGACCAAAAAAACCTTCGTGATTCCTGTCCTCGTGAGTACGCCTTGTGAAACGAAACGGAATGGTTACCTTGTTCCTTCGTGGGAAACGGTACATCGTTATAATTCCCTTTCGTCATCGTTCGATATAAACACGTGGTCTCATCGCGTCCTATATACCTACACACAGTGTTCTGTTCTTTCGCCTCTCGATGTTTCTCTCTTGCGATCTTTGACCGATCGCCGTCTACACACAGAGGCGAGAAAACGTCATTCGTTCCCCAACTGTGACGTAACGTGACGAAACACACTGGTGGGAGCACCAGGTCTGGTGGTGGTAGACGACCGAGTTGGAATGAAATGGGAGGGAGAATGAATGACGCATAAAGCGTGATAGTAGAAAATCTAGCTTGGTCGATGCGGTCGACGCTCACCGAGCATCGACAAAGACCGCTCCCACAAGTATCCAGAGACCCGAACGAAAACGTGAAAACAACGTCGTCGGCGTTGGGTACACGGCGAGTCGTGGGCGCGACTTTACGGGTGTACCACGATCGATAGAGAAGAATCTGGAGCGCGACGCCTCCTAGTCTCGGGTGATATCGGCGGTTAGATCGAAGGAATCACAAAACGTATGGTGGAGGTGGGGGGAATTGCAGGGCACAGGGTCTCGAAGAAGATCGTGGCGCCTAGGAGGCGGCCGGCCGGCCGGCACTGATGCCAGAATCGTGGGTAAACCGCGCGAGCGCTTACCCTCTCCATGCCTCCCGTGGGTATTTTACACAAGCATATTCTAGCATGTCCGTGAGCTCTGCCCCCATTACGTCCTACTCGGCGACTCACCAACACAAGCGTTTTCTACCTCTGTCCGTGTGCGCTCTGCTTCGGGTGTTCTCGGCAAAAGCCTAC